TTCAGTAAGTCGAGGCCTGAGAGATTACATGTCTAACAAGTTGCCAGGTGATGGTACTGTTAGTGCTCTGAGGCCCACGCTTATACACCTGATTTACATGATGAATTAGTGGGATGCTTTGGTTAGGATTCTGTGAAGTTAGTTAGATTCCTAAAATCCAGTTACACCTGCTATTCATATGGCATTAGACCTAACTAGTCTTAGAGCAGAAGTCCTTACATTTGCACCTAGAAATTATTTGTGTTTCAAGTTCTGATATAATTGGTCTGAAATGTGATTGGACATTGAAATAGCTTTTAAAAACTCTCCAGGTGGTTTTAATATGTAGCTGAAGTTAAGGATGACTGCTTGTATTAGTTTCTATTACCTTGCAATTTTGCAGGTCAGAACCCTGGGTTCTCTGGCCGGCCTCAGAAGGCTGAAATCTAGGTGTCAGCTGGACTTGGGTTCTGTTCTCACCAGTTTTCTCTAAGCAGAAATCGGTCCCCAAGCCCACGGTTCTTGTCAGAATTTACTTGTCATTGCAGAGCTGAGGGCCTCACTTCCTTGCTGGCTTCAGTAAAGGCCACTCTTCAGCTCCTAGAGGGCACCCACATTTCTTGTCACTTGGCTTCCCCCAACGTCAAGCCAGTAGCAGTGTACTGAATCCTTTTTGAGCTTTAAATCTCTGACTTCCTCTTTACCTTTAAAGGGCTTATGTGATTAAGCCGAGCTCACCTGGGTAAGCTTCATATTTTAAGACCAGCTGATTTGGGACTTTAGTTGCATTTGCAAAATTCCATCACGGTAACAATACATAGGTCTGTGTTTGATATACTCCTGGGAAAAGATGTGTGAATACCACAGACCAGGAATCACTCTGGGGCCTTGGAGACTTGGGGCCAACTTTGAATGCTTTATAGGCCCAATGGGGTTTTTCTTTGTCAACATGTGTCCCTTTTGTTTTCCCACACAATGTTTGAGTGTGTGAGACAGTACCTTATTTAGCTCTTGCCCTATGCCGATAAATTCATTGTTAACTTTTAGTGTTCATTCATTTTAGCTTTTTCCATTTTAATTAGTTGGTTTAGTAAGTCCTTAGGGGAAGAATGTACTGGGGAGCTCTTTCTAAAGAAAACAATAGGGTAATCTAAAACACTCTCCGGGAAGAACTAGGTTCTTGTATGTTAAACAGTGTGCTCTCGCATTTCTAACTCAGCACTGGTTGCAGATAAACCCAGCAAGAATATCGACTTTAAAGAAGACTAGTTGGTACCATACAGAACATATACTAATTGAGAAGTCTCTGTCAGCAGGTGTATTTTCTTCATTCTAGGAACATTTGTCTTAGCTTGCATTGGTTTCTATAATTGGAGTACTTTCTTTTGGGGCAGTGCCAATTAGCCTGTTAAAATATAGTTCCTGTTGTTCTAGATTCCTTGATAATTTTACTGGGGTGGCTTTTCATATATTTTTCATACACTTTAATAAAATTGTTTTCCCATCAATACATTTACTTTTTCCCTATTCCTCCAAATCTAAAGGGGAATAAACATTTCAATAGGTGACAAACATGCTTTTAAATTAGATTAGAAGTTGGTCATGTTGGCTGGCTTTCATCTCTATTGTGTCTTTTACTGATTTACTACTTGAGAATTGCCATTTGGATTTTGTTGTTGGGTAAAGTAATGCCTTTGGAGAGACAATGTAAGGAATTGTCCAGTGAAGTACAGACTCAGAGGTAAAGGCCTGAAAAGTTGAATGGTTATGCTTATTTCTTTTTTAATGACTTTTTCTGCCAATTTAAATACAGCTTTATTTTCAAGGCATTGCATTTTCCACTTACAGTAACAGTACTAATAAAGTGCAATGTTGACTTGACGTCTTATCCCTATGCATACTGTATGTTCAAGTATTGAGAATGCTCAGAAACTTAGTATAACAGCTTTAACTCTTTACTGCTGGGTCAGTGCTACAAATTTGGGTCCTTCAATTTTTAAATGTGGAACAATGTGGTTTCTATTCTCATTACTCGCTTAATCAACCTCTTCAATGGTGGGTCCAGATGAAGCACCACCAGATGGAGGAGCTCCACCGCCAGGGAAGCCTCCCGGCATCCCTCCAGGCATGCCTCCGGCACTCTGGTACAGCCTGGTGATGGTGGGGCTGCAGGCTTTCTCCAGCTCTTTCTGCTGATGTTCAAATTCCTCTTTCTCTGCAGTCTGGGGAGAAAAGTGTGTTTTTGGTTGTCAAAGGTTCCTTAATATAGCAGCTACTTCCCAATAAATGCTGTGACTAAATGCCTGAGTAATGATCCCCACCCCCCAAATCATTCTAAAGTCTGGGGTCCCTCAGACATCCAAGGAAGGAAGCCAACTCAAGTCATTCTGGTGGAAACTGCGAATGTTTGGGACCCTTCATCATTGTGATTTTAATGACTATTTTCAGAACCTAATAACATGTTAGGGTTTTAGTTGGTAGTTGTGGCATAGAGTATCGAGGCCAGCCTCATTAGCATTACTGGACACGTGGAAACCCGCCCTGAGCTCTGGGGTGTGGTCTAACAAACCATCCAGGTGATTTTGATACGGGTAAAAATTGGGGAGTCATATGCTAGGCAACAATATTTTGGCAGGTCTGTCAAGAGGGAGATTAACATTATCGCTTACACTTTGTATAAGACAATTTAGACCATTTTCAGTGAGGTTTCCTACTTTTAGACAGGAGAGGCAAGCAGAAGGGTTCTGTTTTGTCTCAGCTCTTTGGAGATTATTGGTCAAGAGTAAGGCTTCTGAACCTTGCCTTTGGGGTGGATAATCCTTTGTTGTGGGGACGGCCCTGCGCGTAACTGCGTTGTTCTTCACCTACCTACGAGGAGCCAGTAACACCCAAATGTACCTCTCACTGCCATGGAATTGATTCTGACTCACAGCAGTCTGAGATTGTGACTCTTTACAGGAACATACAGTCTTATCTTGACCCCGTGGAGCTGTTGATAGGTTTAAACAGCCGACTTACAGTGAGCAGCCTCTGTGCTCAAGGAGGCAGAATGGCCTGAGGTTGACACCATTACAATAGGTGTCGAGTTCTAAGCTCAGTCCCCTTAGTACCTGTGATTTTTTTACTATCAGTAGCACCTCAAAGTAATTCTTAGAGATTCTCTTAATGAATACTAGAGATAACTAGTATTTTCCTATCTATCAAGACAAGATATGATTTAAAAGATGAGTTTGTAGAACGAAGTGCTCAAATGTCCCCAAGCATAGTAGTCATCCCATAATGTAATTTGGAAACCCTCACCCCATCTCCAAAGTACTTTGTGATGTTTTTAAAAGATGGCCAGAGATAATTAGGAATTTTACCCTAGGTGTATTTTATAAGTATTCAATTTTAATAAGCCTAGGCATTAAGAACCCTGCCTCTTTTTTACAGAAACTGTTTATGTTTTGTTCTGAGAAGTAGATGCCAACCTCATTTTGTGGATCACAAGGGCAACCTTTCATAGGGCTGGTGGTGGTGGAGTACTACATTTTGGGGGCTAGTTAGACATTGCCACTAAAAGCTACTAAAGAGTGTGTGTGTTCATAGGTAGGTTGTGAAAGCACTGTCAAGTTGGTTCCGACTCATAACCACCCTGTGTACAAGAGAAGGGTGAATGCCATCCGCACAGTTGTTGTTATGTTTGAGCCCATTCGTGTAGCCGTGGCATTAATCCATTGCAACGGGAGCTTGCTTCTTTGTTGCTGGTCCTCTATCAAGTCTGATGTCCTTTTCCAGGGACTGGTCTCTTGACAGCATGTCCAGGATACGTCAGACAAAGTGCATAGGCTTACATTTTAAAGACTAATTCCCTCTCCTTACTTTAAACTAATAAAATTGGAAAGATATGTCGGTTTGTGGTAATAGATTGCTTTGGATTGATCCTCTGAAACACCGTGATGTGAAAGCCGATGAGTTTGGTAATATGCTCATGACTATGACTAACCACACCCGAGATGCCCGAGTAAAAAGGCATGCTCCCATGCACACTTGCTGGATGCCACCATAATTTTGCACATATTCTCCCCTCTCGAATACGGGTTCTTTAGGAGCCTGTGCATTGTGGATGGCTAGCTAATAAATTCTGAGGACCTGCCACATCTATGGGAAAGAGAGGGGTGCAAGGCCTTGCCTAAGGGAATAGGAAGCAGAATTGAAAATTCTGAACAGGTGGAGCCCCTCGGGGACCTGTGACCTGAAGTGTTAATGATACAACCACAGTCCACTGGTGGAATGAGCACTATAGGAGATGCAGAAGTGACTAAGCTGTGGTCTTTGCCTTTAAATTATTTAACTTTGTAAGGAGAATAAAACAAGTAGACAAATTTCATTTAAATAACTGTGGCATTAAATATAAGAGGTACAAAGAAATGCATCACACCTTGAGAATGGCTGGGAAAGATATGAGAAAAGGTGACATTTTCAAAGTTCACTTAAAGGCAGGTGTGACGTAGTCTCAGTGTTGAAGACTGCAAGCCTGGGCTCTGGAGCCAAGACACTTGCGTTCAGAGCTGCCACTGAAAGAGCTGTGGGGCCTTAGGAAAGGGATATACAGTGAACCCTCGATTATCGGTTTATCGCGGTTAATCGGTTCTAGACCCTACCGTGACAAATGAAATTCCGCGAAGTAGGATTCCTTATTTGTAAATCAAATATTTTCGTAGTTAGAGCATAGAGGACATGAAAAAACACCCTTTAGTCACCATTACACTCGTATTACCCAATTTATTAAACGAAAAAGGGAAAATATAGTAAAACATTTTGGACGTTACAATTATCATTTATTATTTATTATATTATTTAGGGCATCAAGCGTGTACAGTATGAGCCAATCAGTGGCAGTAATGACAGAGCATGCGCTGTTACGCAAAAACCGCGATAGAGTGAAGCCGCGGAAGTCGAAGCGCGAAGTGGCGAGGGTTCACTGTATCCTTTGAATCTCGGTTTCCCATTTCAATAATATCATTTTTTTTGTTTTATAGGAAATCTAAGGATATGATCAGTAGGACAACTTCTCACAGTACAAAATTTTGTGCTGATTCTGATGGCTTGTTGCAAGAACTCAAACATTTGAACCAAGAAGGTTCAAAGTTGGTTGAAGAGTCTGTGAAACAATATGATAAACTCAAGAGCAACCTTGAACTACTATCTCAGGAGACTGAACAAAGATGCGAGGCTCTGAACACAAGCACACTTTGTTTTTCTGAGCACTGGGGATCTTGCTTAACTAGGAGGCAAGAAGAACTTCAGGACTTACTGGAGGTAAGATCCGTAGCTGGAACCTACGTTGGGATGTCAGGGATAAACAAAAAATTAAGTATGTCTGGCTGAAAACTGGTTTAAAATATACTATCTTTTAAAATATAATAAATGACAAAAACTTTTAAGTATTATACTTGGTATGGTTATACAGGGTCTTATCTCCTATACCGTGGTATATTTATTCTAATTCTATAAGTTAATTTAACATTTGCCTGTTTTCTGTCCCGTGGTTTTTGACTTGTTAATTTCCTCAGGGAAGAAAGCCTTGTATATCTTTTGATATACAATACTTTTTAATTACATATGCCTTATAGTTTTCTCCCAGTATATTCAAGCTTATTGCTTTAGTATTTAGGATTCTGAAAAGGATGCTTGATAGGTTTGTGGGCTTACTTGGACTTAACACTTGCCAGGACCCTTTTTGTGGCTTAATTTTGCTTTTGGTGCAATACAAGGATTTTGTTAACATTCTCATGAATTAGTACAAAGAATTAAATATTTTAGGCTATTTAATCTATTTTCACTAAAATGAAGCAGGGCTCCTAGGGGAATGGCTCATTTCAGGCATGAGGTAGGAAATGTATAAGATGAGCCTAGACATCTTGACTTGTCATACCAGAAAGTAAGGAACCATTTAGACCAGCCGTACTCAACCTGTGGGTCGCGACCCCCTTGAAAGTCTAACAACCCTTTCACAGGAGTCGCCCAATTCATAACAGTAGCAAAATGACAGTGATGAAGTAGCAACGAAAATAATTTTATGGTTGAGTAGTCACTGCAACATGAGGAACTGTATTAAAGGGCTGCGGCATGAGGAAGGTTAAGAACCACTGCGTTAGACAGTTCTGGAGCTCTGGCTGTGGAGTGGATTATACCTTGAGCTGTTATAGGAACCCACTAACCACTCTGGGAGTGGTTAATGGCAATGGAGTTGGTGTGGTTTATTGTTGTATCAGATTGACTTTGGAGCCATCTTGAAGGTATGATGGTATCACTTGAAAATCAAAGAATAGTGATGATGACAGATTGTTTTGTTAGGTGCCATCTAGTCAGTTCCAACGTAGAGCAGTTCTGTGTACAACAGAGTGAAACACTGCCCGTTCCTGCATCACCGTCACAATTGTTATGTTTGACCATGCTGTTGTAGCCGCCGTGTCGCTCTGTCTCATGCAGGGTCTTCCTCTTTTTCACTGACCGCCTACTGTACAAAACATGATGTCCTTTGCCAGGAACTGGTCTCTCCTGAGCTCCTTTCCTGAGGAACCCTGGTGGTGTAGTGGGTTCCTTGCTGGACTGCCAACCACAAAGGTTAGCAGTTCAAATCCACCTACTATTCTGCAAGAGAAAGATGAGATTTTTTTTTCTGGTAAAGATTTACTTCTACTCTCTCATAGGATTGCTATGAGTCAGAACTGACTCAATGACAGTGGATTTTTTTTTTTCTTGGGGGGAGCACGGGAGGTGGAGGTCTTTTCTGGGCACACATCAAATATGTTAAAACTCATGGGTCTCCTTTGGAGCATACTTGGGAAACTGCATTGTTCTGGAAAGTAGGAAAAATAGAGCAGCCATATGCCTTTTCAGAAAAAAATATCTGTCTTGGTTTCGCATAGGAAAATATGAGGAAAAATATTTCATACAATAGGAAAATCTGAGGGAAAATATTTCATAGAAGAATCCAACCTAATAAAATGCTGAATAACGATAGAACTTTACCATTTGTAACTCCTAATGAAAAATTAATGAGTACTGAAACCATTTGATCAACAGCTAGTGGAGAACTTTATAATCACTAGGCAGGCCACACCTGTACTCACCAATAATCACAATGTGAAAGAAATAGCCATCATTTCCAGTGATGTATTTTTGCCAAAAAACTGAGCCTGAGCCAGATATTAAGTCTCTGGATCCAACTAGTGTATGGACAACAGAGAGGACAAGCGTGATGGATATAGGAAGATACTTCATGGATCTGCAGTTCACCAATCTCTCCAGAGTTTGAGAGAATCAAGAGAGCGAAAGATCTGGTTTCTTCAGCAACAAAATATTTTTCCCAAGGGGGAGCAATAAGGAAGAGTGAGTGACTTATAGGTCAAAACGATTTCAGACTAAGAGGACCTAGTTTGCTCTGGGCAGTCTTTACTTAAACCTGCTTCCTTGGAAGTAATTATTAAAAATGGCCCTTTTTACTATCAAAAATGCCCTGATTTGGATAATAAATTAAAACCGTTAGCCCTTAAGACATAACAACCAGACCTAATGATGAATTCTGACTCAAGCCAACTGTGGAAAACAATTGGGATGGCTGTGGTCAGATAGTGATCTTGGCTTGTGGTTATTTAAATTTTAAAAGCCCGGTCTCTCAGCAGTATGTGCTGAAGTAAGTTGATGAAGTGATGCAGATTACCTTCAAAATAATCTTGAGTAGGAGGAGGAAGAATGGCCAATCTGATTTCATCTATACCCTATGTATTGATGTAATACAAAGAAATTAATTGTAATATTCTCTCACTTTTATGTTTAACAAAAAACTTTATAGAGAATTTCAGGGTAAGGGTAAGGGAAAAGGACATGTTGAATAAAGTGCTGGCAACTCTAATTTTAATAATGAACTTATCGTATCATTTGTATCATTTGCAGGTTGTAAACCAAGGTTGCAAAGCTTCAAGTTCAGAGATTACTGAAAAATTAAGTGGCTATAAGGCAGCTAATGAGAACCAGCGCAACACTTTCCTTGACCAGATAACCAGTGATGAAGAGAAGCTGATGTCACAAAGTCTAAAGCTTAATGAAACCATAAGGATGGGTTTGACTAAGCTTAACTGCTTTCTGCAACAGGATCTTAAGCAGGATATCCCAACAGGTACTTTAATACGGAAATAGAATTGTTAAACTTTCTTATGTGGCAGATGTTCCCAAACCCCAAACCTTGCCAATTGCTTTGTGGGAATTCACCTCACTGTAATCATCTCAAATATAGAAAAATTGGAAAACCCAAATGATTTTAATGAAGTGTTAGGCAATATCGGTAGTATTTTCCTTCAGAACTTTAAGTATTATAATTAAATAAAATTTCACAAACATTCCTGAAGATATTGAGAGGAAATTTTAAAAAAACCAACCATCTTCCTAGCACCACTTAGAAAGGAAGAGGACATTTATAGCCCCAATTTCAATCCCCCCCCCCCCCCCAATTTTATAATGTCCACAAAAGGTCTGACGCCACAGAGGAAGAATTATTTATACCCTTCAACCCTGGTGAGAACGGAACCGCGCGAGCTGCTCATCGATCAGTTAAAAACCAAGCAACCTGCGCTCTTGATGCTGGACTGCTCAGCACACGACAGAGAAGCCGCCAGCCAGGTAAAATGCAGACCTCGTCGCCTCAGACTCTTCTCTTCAGCTCCTGGTACGATCGGGTTCACTTGAAGAATTTCAGTTTCTGCCCTTCGATCCTACCTGCCTCTCAGTAGCAGTAGTTTTCTGGCCCTTAAACTATGTATTTTGATCCTGCCGTTTTTAAGTGATTACACTAATACATAGCAATAGCCAATGTGTATCGTGTTCTTAGGGTGCCAGCATTGTGCTCAGCAAGTTACCATGTACATGAACTCAATGAATTCTTCCATTAATAGCCCCATGAGGTGTATATTAGTACCATCCTCATTTCACCAAAGAAGGAACTAAGAATTAATTTTCTCAGATCATAAAGATTGAGTTGGAATTAGAACCTAGACAATAAAGGTTCATAATCAGTGCTCTTAACTATAATATTGATAATATAAAGTTATGGGTAAAGAAAGTAACAGAAGAGAGTAACAAACCATAATCTCATTATTCTGAGATTGCTACCTTTATCATTTTACTCTATACGCATGTCTATATATGGAAATCTTAGAGAATATTGAAGCGAGTTTTATAGACTTATTGCTGATTCTGTTGAAGTTTAATAATGGGCATTGTGGGGTATTCAAACAGGAAAACTGCCTTTTGTGCTGATTTTTAAACCTTTGGACGTAGCCACTCACCCGGCCTTTTCTTTTAGCCTTTGGATGAAGGGCAAACAGTCCTGGGGCACACTCCGACCGTTGACGAAGAACCTGGGGGTCAAGAGCCATCTGTCGATGCTGGTGTGGACTGTTCCTCACGCGGCGGGGTTCCCTTCTTTCAGGTACCTCATCGTGCCATTGCAGTCTTTCCGCGTCTGCCTCAGTCAGTCATTGTCTTTTTAGGAGAAAGGTAGTAAGTAATCTGGTGGAACGACAACGAAGTTTCACTCCTTGAGGATAGCTTGTTAACTTTTCTTTTTAAATGACTTACAATAAATAAGATATTAGTAAAGAGTTTTCGATTGGGTAAATGCAAGCAAAATTTGACTTAAATCTCCACTTTCATCTGGCATCCTTTTGCTATTCTATTTATCTCCCTTCTGCAGCTAAAACTCTTCCCTTTGAACTGTTACCTCGTGTTTCCTGAATTTTCTGCCTACTCTGATCCTAGGCAATTAGGTCCTATGATCTGCCTTCTTTGAACACTGCTGGGAGCATGGCACTAATGGACACAGCATCTATTTCCTCTGTTTTGAGGATATGAACCTAAACAATATCTGTGGAGTAACGTTTTCCCTACCCACAGCACTGACATCACCAGTCTTATAAAGCTCTATATGGCCAAATGGGATTCTAATGAAATACAACTTCAAAATGAAAAGCATGAAATAAGATTCATTTTTTAAAAACATAAATAAAAGTGTCTTCAGGTAGCCCAAATACCAGCTTTTCTGCTTAAAATAGAATTGTCCTGTTTGCATGATTATCTTTGTTCCCTTAAAGCAGGCTTTCTCAAGGTGGTACCACTGGCATTTTTTGAGATAGGTAATTCTTTGTCATGGGGGGGGGGGGCAGCTATCCTATGCATTTTACAATGTTTAGTGGTATCCCTGTTGTCTACTATGAGAAGCATGTAGCACCTCCTGGTTACAACAACCTAAAGTATCTCCAGACATTACCTGGAGGGCAAGCTCACTTCCTGTTGCAAACCACTACTCCAGAGTAATCATGCCTTAGAAAACAATGCAGAAAATTAATATTTCTCTGACCTCGCTCCTTCCATTGGTGTTAAATATTAAAGAAGGCATTCATCTCTACTTTCAAATACATTGTCGGCTCAACCTTGCGTTGAGCCCTTTCTTAAGTTTTCCACACTTGAATTTCTTGTTCATAACTTGGAAAACTTTGAAAACGTGTATGTGTATCTGCTAATGTGTACCAAATGTTACTTTATATTGACTTGATTTCTCCCCTTAAATCTACAGCATAAAAAGCCACATGGAAAAGACAAAGAAAACCGAGGTGTTAACCCAGTGGAGCGGTCGAAAGTGGAAGAAGCTACAGAGCAATCGGTTACAAGGAGCAGATTGCCTCTGCGTGCTCAGATAAATCTGTAGTTAACTTGAAGATTGTTTTATTTTTAAAGAAAAGGCCTGTAAACTCCAGAACTTGCTCCTGATGTATATATTTAAAGCAGGAATAGAAGATCTCAAGGCAATACTGTAAATTGAATTGAAATTAATGTGTCTACCTGTTTCATCCTTGTAGTTGACTATGCATTAAGTTGGATTTGGGTTAGGATTTGCATTGGATGGATGTACATTTCTAGCTCTTTGCTATAAAACAGCCCTTTCTTAACAAATGAAAATGTATTTTTCTTGCTAATTATTAAACAGATATGTAGGAGCTGCACTGTTCTAAACGTGAACTTCTTAGGGAACTATCACTGACTCTTGGCCTTGGAAAGGCCACCTTTCTTTCCTGGTCGTGAGTGAGTTATGTCGTGTGTGCCCGCGTCGTTTGCCAAACCGTGTTGTCCTGCTTTCTCATCAGCCCACTCTTCCGTTTAGTCACCAAACCATTTTTAAAGAAACACGTGTTCTTATTGAAAGACAGCCAGAATTTTACCTCCAAGCTTCTTAGTGGGTATCACTCACATCACCGCCAACAACAGGCATTCCCTGGACGTGTGCTCCTGCCAAACATTTTTCACTTGCATCTTCCTATATGTGAAAGCATATCATTTCCTTTTGAAGCCTAACCCATTCCCTCAACAAACTTCACAGACATTACGAAAAGCAAAACAAAACACTTCCCTGCTCTAGAATGTGGGAGCACTACCAGAACCCTGACCAATGGCTATGTGGCCTATATCTTTGGGGGGAAGGTCATAATCATTTAAGGCCTTTTAAAAATGAATAATTACGATTTCCATTTATATTCTTTTATTTGCTTGATAAAGTTTTTGTTCTATGCTTGTGTATAATAAAATATGTATATGCATATTTTTCTCTTTTGAAATCTTAACCTATATTTCTATGGCCCTGATATTTTTGGTCTGGCAGCCACATTTCTGGAAGTTGATATGCTTAAGCATAAACAGCCATAGTACTTAAAAGGAAGATGAATTCATTCTTCATTAAGAGGAAAAATGAATGTTGTGCCCATATGGAGTTTACCATATACATTTAGAGACATGATTAAGGTAGCTAAGAGAAAAAGCTAAACCCTACTAGAGGATTTTAGACAGTATGATACTTTGCGGATCTTAATTATCTTTGCAGAAGTATTGATTTTTTAAATAGTAAATATTTTAAGTAAAGTAATCGATGAAATATTATCATAGAATCAGATGTTAGCATAAGCTATGGATATTACTGCTAAGTGGCCCCGATGACCCCACGTGTAAAGCAACAATGGATTGGGTATCAACTCGATCCAAAGGTTTTCATTGGCTGATTTACAGAAATACACCAGTAGGTCATTCTTCCTAGTGCATCTTAATCAAGGGGTTCCAGTGCAACCTGTTAAGCCTCGCAGCCACATTCAAGACTCCACTAAACAGATGGGGGGTGGCTATGCATGAAGTGCGTCGGCTGAGCATTGGCCCTGCGGCTCCCTGATGGGAAGCAAGAATCCTATCATGGAACCACCAGTGCCCTCCAAGCTATGAATAATGCCTGACAAAGTAAACTACCCTCAATAAATCTATGATTAATAAACATTAAGTTGCCTTTTCCATACTTTCTTATCTGGCAATGGACACATGTATAGCATCAAGTTAAATGTGTTAAAATTTCTAAAGTAAACTTGTATGCAGGTGTCATCAAAGAGGAAGGACTGGTTAAAAGCACAGAATTGGTCCAGTTCTCCCAGGGTCTACAGTCTAGTTTCAAATCATCTTCCTTCCTTTGTTCAAGGGCATATGAATGTAACTACTCTGACTGCTGGGCAGAAGCAAATATAAAACCATTAATGAGGGATTTATCACCTAGATCCTTAAGTTAGTTCTACTAATGTTCACATGCAATGTATGTCACTGAAAAAATAACCAAGAGTGGTAATTGGAAGAAACGGTGTAAATAACTCCAGGGGCCCATCCCTCCACAGAACACATAAACATCACACAAAAACTGTCAAGATCAAATCTGTGAGACCTTGAAAGCAATCAAAGGTTAACAAGCACCGAGTGAATGTTGAACCATTTTGAAGAATTATAGGAAAGTTCTGTGTTTTTCTTTCCCTTGCTTCACCCCTCTCTCCAGCTCAATGCCAGTATGGATGACAGTAGCCAACGTTCCTGGTGTGAAACGAAAACCGGCATAGGGGCCATATCTGACCCTGGCTTCTCTGTCGCCACGAGGCAGAGGTCAGACATACCTCCATTCTTTACCTACTCTGGTGCCAACTGTTCCTGCCACAGCATGCTCCTGCCATTCTGCATTCAATAATTGATTGCACTGGTCACACACCACCCACAGACAATACTTGTGTTTAAGGAGGTCTATTAGGGCAGTTAACGGGTCAGAATTAGTAAATAGAAAAGAGTCCTTGGTTCTGTTTCTGGTCCTCACCCTCTCTTAGCCACATGGTCCCTTGGCTTCTGCCTCTGGGCCGATAAGCCAGCCTGCTGCTCCGCCTCACAGTCTCTTACTTGGGGCTCTGCTCCTCTGCTCTTTCTCAGCGTCTCAGCCTGTCCCCCTTGCTCCGTCCCACAGTTGCCATGCTGCCGCTTCTGGTGCCTCTGCCACTTCTGACAGAGATCATCAACGTGCGCCACTAGCTGTCCTTTCGTTAAGGTCTTGGGATGGTTCTGATTCCAGCTGCTGAGATGGATTATTCTTAAGTGGAGGTGTGGTTTTGCCTCTCAGCAGACCATACCACCCCCAAGGAAACAAAAGGTGGGGACATGAGTCACACTCTCCAAGGTAGGGGCTCAATATATTTCACTTTAATCTTGAAACAGCACCTCCTCCAAAATGGGATTATACCTCTAGGCCTAGAGCTCTGCTGGAATGTACAGTACCACAAAATGGATTATGGCTAGAAGGGCCGTAATAATTGACTGCATTCAAAGACCCTGGATCCAGAAGGAGCAGAATGTACTGAAAGAATTGGGTTTGTCTGTTCTAGCCTGACCGGGAGGGACACGAAGGACTGACTACAGGCACATTTACCTTTGTTTCCTCGAACTTGGAACTCCCTTGGTGTTCCAAGCAGGGAGCATTCTTCCTTGAAAACACTAGGAACAACCCACTCCCACCTGAGGTAAACTATTACCCTTGAGGCAAACAATAGCACAAAAAGGCTGTAGGGGAGGGGAGCATAGGGAAATAATTTCTTAGAGAAATGATGGCATCCAAAAGTGTCCAGGTGTCCTGGGGAATTTAGAAGGCCCATTGCAGTCAAGACCTCAAGATCCTGAGCTTTCCAGCCGTGTGGGGCCCTGTCAGCATCCCAAGAGCCTGTGTACTGTGTATGTTTCAAGTGGAAAAGTTGGCTTTCAAATTCATAAGGACTTTTTAAGGGGCCTTATGTAAACAAAGTAGTTTTAAAAAATCAAAATTGACATTTCCCAGTTTCAAAACTTACTATATAAAGTGTGTTGTTAGTTGCAGTTTGGTTGGTCCTTGACTCTTGACCCCATGTCCAATGAAACCGGACCACTGGTCTCCATCAGATTTCATTGACGGATATGCGGAAGTAGGTCACCAGGCCTTTCTTTCTAGTCTTACGGTGGTAGCTTCACTGAAGCCTGTTCAGCAACACAGGTGTCTGTGCACGAGGTGCATTTGGCAGAACCAAACCGGAGTCTTCTGCGTAGAAGGTAACCATTATACCACTGAACCACCGTGGTCAATCTTATTACAAAGTACAATAAAGCAGGGTGGTGCTGCCATAGGCTAGATGCAGACCAATGCTGTAGGGAGTATAGCAATAAACCCATTGTGAAAAGTAACCTGTAACAATCAATCACTGATGTGGTTGCTGCAACAATCTAATGGAGGGCCAGCAGAGAGTAGGACTTTCAACAACGGTGCTGACGCAACTGAATATCTACGTGATAGCTTATGTAACAATTCAACATAGATTCATGACCTAAGTGTACCCTACAAGAAAATAATTAGAAGGAAATGGGTAAATCTCCATGACCTTGAATTTGGCAATTAATTCTCTAAAAACGTGGAATAGAAGGAAAACCCGGCAAATTAACATCAAAAATTTAAAAACTTTTGTGTATGAAAAGACATTAATTGAAAAGACAACCTACAGAGCATAATAAAGATTTGAAAATCATATATTTCCTAAGAAACTAATATTTAAGTCCTTCACTAAAGAAGATAGACAAATGTCCCCCAAACACATGGAAGATGCTATCATTGGTCATTAGGGAAATTTTAAAATACCAGTAAGATATTTCACCTCTACTTGATTTAATGTCTATTAGAAAAATGGAAGCCAACAGATGTTGAAAACATGGGAGAGATTTGGACCCTTGTACATTGCTAGTGAGAATGTAAAATGGTACCCATGTAGAAAACAGTGGCATTTTCAGAGTTACCAGGTGGTCTAGCCATTCCACCCACATATATAACCCCCCAAATAATTGGAAAGTGCTCAAACACATACACATGTTGTAGCAGTAGTATTCATAATAGCTAGCAGGTGGAAACAACCCAAATGTCTGTCAGTGGATGAATGGATAAACTGTGGTATTTACACACAATTGCATGTCCAAAAAAAGAAGTATTGACACATGCTACAATGTGGATGAAGCTAAAAAATATCCTAAGTGAAAGAAGCCAGGCATACAAAAAATCATTGTGTGATTTCATTTATAAGTATACAGATCCCCCCCCCCTCCAGGGGGATGAACAGAAACCATGGGAGAAGGGAGATAGCGGCCAGTGTAAGATATGAAAATAATAATAATTTAACAAGAAGTCATGGGGTGGGGGGAGAAGAGCTGATACCAAGGGCTCAACAGAAAGTAAATGTCTAGAAAATGATGGCAACATATGTAAAAATATGCTTGATAAAATTGATGTATGGATTGTCATAAAAGCTGTAAGAGCACCCCAATAAAATGATATTTTAATTAAAAAAAAAAGAATACAGATGGTCCCCACTATGTGAAAGTAGAGAGTTCTTTTGAAACCTTCTGTAAGCCAAAATGGTGGAAAGCAGAGAAGCAACTACCACTATTATGGGGAAAAGTTTTGAGTGTTCACAAATCGAAAGACCTACCATATCTTACCAAAGAACATTTAAAACTCCAACTAACACTAACATACACTGTACGCAGGCACGCTTCAAAACTGTGACAGCTTGATTCTGAGATCCTGACTTCTGGCGAAGAGCTCGGAGACACCACTCACAGGTTAAAGGTTGTGCAGGACCCCTTTAACCAC